TTTGGGCTTCATTTTTTCTAGCTCCCCAAGGCATAAATAGGTTGTTTATTGAAATTTTATTATTTCTTTGTGTAGGCATTTCTCACTATGGCATTTCCTATTAAAACTGCTTTTGCTGCACCCCATGAGTTTTGGTATGCTGTATTTCCATATTCACTTTTCTAAAAGTATTTTTGGATTTCTTTTTTTGTTTCTTTGTTGACCCATTGGTTGTCCAATAGAATGTTTTTTTTTATCACCATGTAGTTGTAAATTTTCCACTTTTTTCCTGTCATCAATTTCTAGTTTTATACCATCATGATTTGAAAAAATTCTTGATATGATTTCAGTTTTTAAAAAGATATTAAGACTTGCTTATTGCTTAATTTATGGTCTTTTCTGGAGAATGTTATATGAGCACTTAAGAAGAATGTATATTCTGTTGCTTTTGGAAGAAGTGTTTTATATATCTAACTCCAACTGTTTTAATGTATCATTTAAGGCTGATATTTTCTTATGGATTCTCTGTCTGGCTGATCTATCCATTGATGAAAGTGAGGTGTTAAAGTCCCTTACTAATATTGTAATATTGTAATGTAGTATTATTATACTTCTCCCTTTGGTTCTATTAATATTTCTTTTATACATTTAGGTGTTCCTATGTTGTATGCATATATTACTGATATATTTTTACAAATTATATTTATAAATAATACATCTTTTGGTTGATTTTTCCTTTATTATTTTGTAATGACCTTCTTTGTCTCTTATTTTATCTTTGTTTTACAGTCTACTTTGTCTGATGTAAGTATACCTATGCCAGCTTCTTTTTTTGTTTGTTTCCATTGCATGAAATATTTTTTTCCATCTGCTTACTTTCAGTCTGTGAGTGTCTTTACATCTGAGATGAGTCCCTTACAGGTAGCATATAAATGGGTCTTTTTTTCCTTTCGGCCTTTTGATTGAATAATTTAGTCCATTTTGTGAAGTAATTATTGATAAGTATGTACTTATTTCCATCTTGTTAATTGTTTTCTGGCTGTTTTGTAGTTTCTCTGTTTCTTTCTTCTTCTGTTGCTCTACTCCCTGTGATTTGATGATTTTCTGTGGTGGCAGCTTAGATTAATTTAAAAAATATTTTGTGTATCTATTATAGGTTTTTGCTTAGTGGTTATTATAAGGTTTACTATAATAACTTATTTAAAATAGGTTATTTTAAGTTGATAACTTAAGTTTGAATGCATTCTAAAGCTTTTAATTTTTACTCTATTACTGCAACTTATGTTTTTGATTCCACAACTTACATTTTTTATCACATGTATCTCTTGACAAATTATTGTATAGTTATTTTTACTACTTTTGTCTTTTAATCTTTATGTTAGCTTTATAAGTGATTAATTCATCTTTACAACATTAGATTTTTCTGAATTTTACTCCATATTTACCTTTGCCAGTGATATTTATAGTTTTATATGTCTTCCTGTTAGTACTTAGCATCCTTTTGTTTCAGTTTAAAGAAGTCCCTTTGACATTTCTTGTAAAGCTCATCTAGTGGTAATGAATGTCTTTTGCTTGTCTGCAATTCTGAAGGACAGCTTTGCCTGATAGAGTATTCCTGATTGGAAGGTTTTTTTTTTTTCTTCCACCACATTGAGTATGTTGTGCCACTTCCTTCTGGCTTGCAAAGTTTCTGCCAAAAAATGTAAAATGTGCTGATAATATCATGGGGGTTCCCCTTGTATGTAAGAAGTTGTTTGTCTCTTGCCTAAGGGTCTCCTTGTCCTCAATTTTTGACATTTTAATTTAATGTGTTTTTGTGGATCCTTTTGGGTTAATCTGATTGGGACTCTCTGTGATGTTCAGCTGTTCTTTCTTCAAATAAATTTTTTGTCCCTTTTCCCGTTATCCTTCTGAGACTACAATAATGCAAATGTTATTCTGCTTGATGTTCCATAAGTCTCTTAAGCTATCTTTAATTTAAAACATTTTTTCTTTTTGTCTCTATGACTGGGTGAGTTTCTTTGCCATGTATTTGAGTTTATTGGTCTCTTCTTCTGCTTCATCTAGTCCATTGTTAAACCCCTCTAGTGTATTTTTCAGTTTGTTTACTGTATTATTCAGGTCTGTGACTTCAGTTTGGCACTTTATTATATTTTCTATCTCTTTGCTGAAGTTCTTACTGTATTCTTCCATTCTTTTCTCTGATTCAGTAAACATGTTTATGATTTATTTAGTACTCTTTATCATGTAAACCACTTACGTCTGTTTAATTAAGTACTTTTTCCAAAGTTTTTATCTTGTTCTTTTATTGGGAATATGTTCCTTCTCTTTCTTCATTTTCCTGGAAGTTCTGTGTTGGTTTCTCCACAATAGATAAAACAGTCACCTCTCCCAGTTTCAAGGGAGTGGCCTGTGTAGGAGATGAAACTTATTGTTCAACCCTACTCTAGCTGTCCGTTGTCTCTTACATTTTTGTGATAATCCAAGCAGCCTATTTTATTTTTAGTGGTCCCCAGTAGTTGAGGGTGTCCCAAGACTTGCCATTGTTCCAAAGTGGAAGATCTCAGTCAGATACAAGCTGATTAGAAGCCAGACCTTCAGGCAGCAGCTTTACAGTATGCAAATATATACATACCTAGGGTACTGAATGTGTGTATCCCATTAGCTACTCCACCTAGATGACCTAGAAATTTCTTTTATAGCTGTTGCAAAAATTGGGGCACCAGATGATTGTACAAGCTCCTTTCCAGAATATACTAGTGAACTGAAGCCAGCCAGAAAGAGAATACAAAGATTGCATCCACAAGCTTCTGTCATTGGAGAGCACCTTTGCAGACACCTGGACGTGTGCCAAACCAGAAGCCTGTTCTTCATGCTGAAGTTCAGTCCAAGCAAATAGGCCTCTTTCACAGAAAAGCTGCAGCGTGTTTCAGTCTGCTCTGCATTGTGCCCTTGGGGTGGTTGCTCTCCAAGGACTGTCTCTCCATTTGCTACTGTTCCATGGGGCCCAGAAACACAAGCCCTGATGACCAACAGAACCAGGCAATCATGGGTTGTCCCCTGGGAAGCAGCCAAAAAAAGTGTACCAGACATAAAACCCAGACATAGAACTTTTATACTATGTATACTGGTGTTCTAGAGAATGGTAAAAGGAGGGCACAAAGATAGCACTTGCCCTCTGAGGTCTCTGAAAGGAATTACAGTTGGCCCTTAGACGTATGTTTTATTAGAAGCCTGCTCCTGAAACTGTAATTATGAAGATAAGCTAATAGGCCTCTTTCACAGAAATACTGAACTTCTTCAACTATTGTCTTTTGTTGTGCCCTCGGGGATGGTAGCTGATTAAGAACTGTTTCTCTGTTGGTTACAGTCCTGTGGGACTTATTTGCATTAGCCCTGGTAGCCACCGGAGACAGGTAATCAAGAGACATCCACTGGGTGGCCACTGCAAAAACTGGGGCACCAGATGTATATAAAAGCTCTCTTCTGGGAGACATTTGTGCTTTGGAGCATGTCAGAGGAGACTGGGAAGATGCTTTCTTCCCTGCAAGGTCTCTAGATAGGATTATAGCTGATCTTTAGACGTGTGTTTAATTAGCAACCTTTTAGATGTGTGTTTAATGGGTGCCCCCTAAGGCTGCAGCTAAGAAGATAAGATAGTAGGCCTCTTTTTACAGAAAGACTGGACTTCTCAGAGGGTTGCCTGTGGCACCCATGAGCAATATGCCCCACTGGCCATTACACCCAGGTGATCTAAAGATGTCTCTTTCAGGCAGCCACAAAAATCAAGGCACCCAATGAGGGTAAAAGCCCCTTCTTAGAGATACTGGTGAGCTGGATCAAAGCAGAGGGAGAGTGCAAAGATTGTACCTACCTACTGAAGTGAGGCAGATGAATCTTTTAAGAAGAAGCTTATACTTTAGTTTGTCTTTGTCTAGAAATATCTAAAAGACTAGAAAGTCTATCTCTGTTTTGCTTGTTAGTTCAGTTTGTTCATTAGCTAGTGAGGGGGAGGTTAGGGGTAGAGGGATTGAGCAAAAAGAAAAAAGGACTCATGGACATGGACAACAGTGTGGTAATTGCTGGGGGGAAGGAGTATAAGGGGGCTAAATTGTAATGGAAAAATACACTAAAGATTAAATTTAAAATAAAATACTAGAAAGTCTAGATCAGGCTTTCTCAATATTGGCACTACTGATACTTTGGGCCACATAATTTTTTGTGTTGCCCTGTGCATTAGAGGTTTAGCAGAATCCCAGGCCTCTATTCACTAGAACCCTGTAGTACAGCCTCTTCCCCTGAGTTGCAACAATCAAAAGTGTCTCTAAGACTGTGTTATATGTCTCTGTGATGGGGAGCAAAATTACCCCTGGTTGAGCATCATTGGTTTACGGGCATGGTAACATTGTAGTTAAGACCACAGTTTTTACAGAATTATGTATGAATGAAGACTCTTTTTGCTTATTAGCTGCATGACCTTGAGCAAATCACTTTACTTTTGTAAACCTCACTTTCCTCATCTGTAAATGAGGACAATGAGACCTTGTTTAGGGTTATTGTAAGGATTATATGAGATCATGTATATAAAACACTCAATAGATAGTGGCAATAATAATTTATTAATATTGTTAGCCATTACCAATTAACAAAGATCACAAGTTTGTAAAAAATAGTGGATGAAGAAGGGAGAAGATTTTTTAAAGGTAAACTCAGAACTAATTTTTTAAAATCACCTATTCTGTCATAAGATAAATTCAGCTTTCCCCTAGTAGCTTTTTCTTTTTGCTGGTAGGCCTTACTAATTAAGAACCATCAAAGATAAGAGTCTTAAATCTTTCTCTTTGATATTCCATAGCCAGATCTAAAAATCTGGAATACTGAGCTCTACACTATGGAATCCACATAATCTGTTTGGATATAACAGTCTCAGAGTTCTATCTATGTATATTCACAGTCAAGCTTCAATCCACCCCTTCTCTACAAGTCAAGTTCTCCAAGAATCAAGATGAAAAGGGTCTTACCATAGAATTACACCACAGACATCGAAAGTCTTGAAGTCTTTGATTACTGCCACAGTTCTCATGACATACTGCACACTGAGAATTAACAGATATATTTCCCTCTACCCACTGATGGGGCATAGTTTTCTGAAGAATAAAAAGAGACAAAAAGTACAAGTTAGAGATATAAGGAAAGGAAGCATCAATGAGAATAAGTATACTACCCCATAAAGGACATTAGATAACCCCAAGGAAGTTCTTCCTGGTCTGCCCTCCCCACTCCAATGCTAGTGACCAATGACAAGTAGGAATGGGGGCTTTAATTCTTCCAGATGGGTTGGATCATGAGCCCTAGGGAAGAAGCCTACTTGGGTTGTCCGAAGATATCTTTCTTCCTCTATGTGTCCTGACTGCAGGGGAGGTAGAAAAGGGTGACTGAGAGAGCATGGCTGCTACTCACTAGTTCATCTTCAGGTAAGAGGAGGTCATCAGTGATGGACAAGGTATTCCACTTACAGTCTTTGCTTGCTCTCAAAGCACATAATTTGTGAGTCTTCACTTTGCATACTATGAAAAAGAGGAAGAAATAGATGGATGTAAATTGGTAATAATGCAGATTCTAATTCCCTTCCCTTAGCTGCTCTGAACGTTAGAACATAGATGCCTCCAAAGGCTTAGTTTCTATATCATTCCATTAATTTTTATTCTTACTAAATTTTAATTCTCTACTGTCATATTTGAATAAAAATTAATGGTAAGAATGAGGTGATTTATTTTTCCAACCCTTGTAACCATATTATCTGATCCTCTCAGACCCAACTTTCTATTTTGATTTGTGAGAATTTCCCCCTATGCCAGCTTCTTCCCATCCCCTTTCCTCAGTCTGTAAAGTGTCAGGGTTAACCTTAAACCAGAGTCAGTGACTTAGTGTGAGTCAGTGATACTAAAGCCATATGAGCTCCTTTAGCCCTATCTCTACCTACCTAGCCATACTTTCTAAAGAAATCAGAAAGGTACCTTCACAGATGATAACATCTCTAGATAAGGCAGGAATGCTCTCCCGGCAAACATTGCAGTGCTGGGTCCTGAGGCTGGGACTGGAATACCAATAGTGCATTCCAACAAGAAAAGGGTTGTTTTCTACTGTAGGTACCTAAAATAAATAAGAGAGAATAGAGAGTTAATCATAGAGACAAATTAGGGAAGGACAGAAAATCTGCTGCTAGGTTGAAGTGGCCAGCTATATTGGTGTTAAAGTATGTGAAGAAGAAGAATGAAAGTTGAAGTCTATACCTAACAAATTTCTCACTCCCCGTTTTTTTCCCTCACTGGTTTTAGAAAGAGAAAAAAATAGAGGGGTAAATCTTGGTATAGGAGCTAGAGGTAGGAGTAAAAGTTCTTCATAGTGCTTGGCTGAATCACTGCATTGGTTTAGTTTAAGCAAAATTGTTCTGTTAGCCTCGGCCTTGTCTCTCTTTGAGTAGTCAGTGAAAGGAGGTGGTGAGTTGGGAATTCAGTGATATTTAGGTCTTCTGATCAGACAAGAAAGGGAGGAGGCAAGGCTCTGACTCTGGGTTTGTCAGGCTCTAGCCATATCCTGAAGATATGCATTCCCTTTCCTGACCCTACTGCTGCCAGGTGAGCAGAGTACTGCATTACCTGGACAATAGTATCATCTCAGGGGCTTCTTTCCCAAGAATTATTTTCTGACAACCATGCTCTGACTGCCTGAAGTAATTTCCTGGTTAATCAATTTAATGTAGTCAAAGTTCATTAAGTAAATATTTACCAACTACTGTGTGCTTGACACTTTTCAAAGCATTGAGGGATATAGCAATAAATAAGATAAAGTCTTTGCTATCTGAATGACATTTATGTTTGGTGTCCTCTTTCATGGTACTGAATTTGGCATTTACTGTCAACTTGCTTATAAAGTCTGCATTTGTTTATCATAGCCTAACTCTCATAACTGTGGGACAGGCACAGGGAATACCAGCAACTAGTTTTGGAATTGAAAAGAGAAGGGAAGAGGGGAGAGGTGGGCATCAAAAACTCCCAAGTTTGTCCTGGATGTGCATTCCACAAGACTCTTCTACCTTTTCTCTAATTCCAACGAATACTTGATTTTTTCCTTCTCCACCTTTCTTCTGAGTATAAACATGGGCATACACATTCGGTATTTTGTTCTTGACATTATAGTGGGTTGCATGTGTAAAGGCAGGACAAACTTTAAAAAGAACTATATATTCTTCTGATGGCAGCTGATAGTGGTTCATTCATGAGAAAGGGAGAGAGAGAGAGAGAGAGAGCGCGCGCACTATTGAGGGCTCTGGCACATTAAGTGTTCAACCTTGATTAATTTGGCCTAAATTAATCTAAAACATAGCCTGTACGCGGCTCTTTCTGATCCATCTTTCTTCCTTCTGGCATGTTGGGTATGCATTAAGCTGTTGTTGGGTTGACCAGGAAGCTTCTGAAAAGAAGAATTACTTTGATGAGCTAAAGGCTTACTTAGTCTAGGATGACCTTGTGATTGTGATGTTTGTTGCATGCTGAGAACCTGTCAATGTTTTAAGAAAACCTATCAGAGGTAGAGTGCTGAGGAAGTGACAGAGCCTTGGCTTTAGCACACTCTGAGCTCCCAGCGCCTCTCTATTTCCTAAGATACTAGAGTATAACCCTATATTACTTTCCTTCTTTTCAACCTCTACCCTCCCATAATAATTACTAAGAGCCTACTTTCCATTTTCTATAAAGCTAGGTACTAAAGATATAGAGCTGAATGAGTCATAGTTCTTGCCCTCAAGGAGCTCATAGTCTACTGGAGGAGACAACTTCCTAAACAGATCATTCCAGTATAGAGTGACAGGTGAGCTCTCTTAGAATGTGTGAGGGTCTACAGGACTAATGGAAGAAATACAGAACACTGCCTGGGTAGAATATTGAATTACATGGTACCATGAGCTACAGAATATAAAAGAATATGTAAAATAGACATTGCTTTACTCTAGCAGTGGAGAATATCTTACTTATATTCCTTATGTGCAGTCTATTCTATAAGGAAGCTTTGATGCATCCAACTCTGGATGAGTATGTGTTGTATGTAAGGTTTTTACAGATGTAATTAACTTCAAAAGAGGTCATAATGGATTTGAGTGGGTCCTAATCCAGTGTCTTTAAAGAAGAGGGGAATTTGGAAACAGACAAAGGGGGAATACTATGTAAGGATAGAGGCAGAGATTGGAGTGGTGTGTCTATAAGCCAAGGAATGCCTACACTCATTAGAAGCTAAGAAGAGGCAAGGAAGTATCCTCCCCTAGGGTCTTCAAAGAGAGCATGGTCCTGCCAAAACCCTGACTTTGGACTTCTAGACTCTGAAACCGTGAAAGAATACATTTCTGTTGTTTTAATTCACCCAGGTTGTGGTCATTGTTATGGCAGCTCTAGCAAGCTAATGCAGTATGTCATTGCAGGTCTTTCTGGTTTTTGATACAGATTAAAAATGCAATTGAACACAGATGAAAAACTCTGTCCTGCATACAATACAATGTTTGGCCTATAGCAGAGTGACCATATTATCTAAATCAGGATATTTTTTCCCCAGCATCATCAAGATGTTGTAAATCTTTTTTATTATTATTGTTTAGTTATAGTTGTCCCATCACTTTGACAGTGAAATAGAGTGCTAATAGTAATTATCTTGGGGCAACAAGTGTGAACTGTATTCATCCTAGCAAACCACTAGCCATAGAGACACTATGTGTGAGCCAGAGGGTAATTTAGCCAACTCAAATCTATTTGTTGATCTATGCAATCAAGTTTTCTGGTATGTACCACTTAGTTGTCCATCAGACTACCCCATAATCATAAGAGTTAGGGACTAGAGGACAAAAAGAAGATAACTAATTAAGCAGAATTTAAGATGTCCTTCCAAGAGCATGGTGTAAAAGTTAGGGGATCTAAGAAAGAAATCTTTCCCTGGCTGGTGTGGCTCAGTAGATTGAAAGCCAGCCTGTGAAGTGAAAGGTTGTCAGTTCAATCCCCGGTCAGGGCACATGCCAGGTCCCCTGTTGAGGGTGTGAGAGATCTAAGTGATGTTTCTCTCACACACTGATGTTTCTCTCTCTCCCTTCCCTCTCTAAAAATAAATAAATAAAATCCTTTATAAAAGGAAAGAAAGAAATTCTGCTACAATAAACTGTGATTTGAAGCAAAGCAACTGAGCTCCCATGAGGTTAATTTTCTTATCTACTTAATGAAATCAGAAAATCATAAACTTTTCAAGTTGAAAGGAATGTTGGAGTTCATCTGGTCTATCCACCAGAAAAAAATAACTTTCTTTTTAAAGTCAATTTAAAAAATTAAGATATATTTGACAAATACAAAGCATATATTTTAATTTAATTTGATGATGTGTTATACATATATATTGTGAAATAATCACCACAATCAACCCAATTAGCATAAACATTACCTCAGATACCACTTTCTTTCCTTCTTTTTTGTGTTGAAAGTAGTTAAAATCTTTCTTAGCAAATTTTAGTATATAATATGAATGTGTAGATCACTTTGGGTAGTATGGGCACTTTAACAATATTAATTCTTACAATTCATTAACATGAGATGTCTATTCATTTATATATGTCTTCTTTAACTTTCTGCATCAACGTTTTGTAAATTGCAGTGTAAAAGTCTTTTATCTCTTTGGTTAAATTTATTTCTAAGTATTTCATACTTTTTGTTGCTATTGTGAATGAACTGTTTTCTTTCCCTTTTGAATAATTTGTGTACAGAAACCCAATTGATTATTTTTGTGTTGAATTTTGTATCCTATAACCTTATCTAATTAGTTTGTTGGTTCTAAAAATGATTTTGTTGAGTCTTTGCTCTTTCTATGTATATGATCATATTATCGGCAAACAGAGACAATCTTATGTCTTCCTTTCTAATTTGGGTGTCTATCTCTTTTTCTTGCCTATTTGCTCTGGCTAGGAATTCTAGTACTTGGTTGGAAAGAAGTGGTTAGAGTAGACATCCTTGCTTTGTATCAATCTTAGAGGGCAAGCTTTCAGGTTTTCCTTTATTGAGTTTGATATTAGCCATGAGCTTTATTATTTTTTTTCGATTTTATTCATCCATCTTTAGAGGGGAAGGGAAGGAGAGAGGGAGAGAAACATCAATGTATGGTTGCCTCTCGTGTGTCCCCTGCTGGGAACTGGCCTGCAACCTAGGCATGTGCCCTGAATGGGAATCGAACCGCGATACTCCGGTTCGCAGGTCCATGCTGCCATGAGCTTTTTATATTAGCCTTTATTGTGTTGAGGTAAGATTCTTTTATTCCTATTTTGTTGAGGTTTAAATGATGAATGGGTGCTGAACTTTGTCAAATGCTTTTTCTGCATCTATTCAGATGATCATGTGGCTTTTTTTCATTTTGTTTATGTGTTGTATCACATTGATTTATCTATGTTGAACCACTGTTGCATCCCTAGGATAAATATTTCTTGGTCATGCTGCATGCTATTGAATTTAGTTTGCTAGGATTTTAGTAAGGATTTTTACATTTATGTTCATCAGAGTTACTGTCTTCTAGTTTTCTTTTCTTGTAGTATCTTTGCCATGTTTTGGTATCATGGTGGTGCTGGTTTCACAAAATTAATTTGAAACTATTCTCTCAACATTTTTTATAAGTTTAGGAAAGATTGGTATTAATTCTTTGAATGAACTGGTTCTTTGAATGAATTTGGTAGACTTCACCCATGAAGTTGTCAGGTTCTGGGCTTTTCTTTTTTGGGAGATTCTTCATTACTTATCCAATGTTTTTATTTGCTATTGGTCTGTTCAGGCTTTATATTTTGTCCTGATTCAGTTTCAGTAGTTTCTATGTTTCTAAGAACTTATCCATTTTTTCTAGATTATCTAGTTTGTTGATAATAGTCCCTTAAGATCCTTTTTATTTCTGAGGCATCTGTTGTAATGTTTCCTCTTTCTTTTTTGATTTTATTTATTTGAATTTTCTCTTTTATTCTTCACTAGTGTATTTAATGGTTTCTCAATTTTGTTTATATTTTTTAAAAATCACCTGTTCATTTTTTTACTTTTTATATTTTTTCTCTATTTGATTTAGTTCTTCTCTAATCTTAAGTGTTTTCTTTTTTCTGCTAACTTTGGGCTGAATTTATTGTTTTTCTATATACATGATGTGTAGAGTTAGGTTGTTTATTTTAGGTCTTTCTATTTTAATAGTATTGTTTATTTTTATAAACTTTCCTCTTATAAGTGCTTTTGCTGCATCCCTAGTTTTTGTTATGTTATGTTTCATTTTTGTTTTTCTCATGATCATTTAAAATTGACTTTGTATTTCCTCTTTGACCCAATGGTTGTTCAAGACTGAATTGTTTAGTTTCTATGTATTTGTATGTAAATTTTTCCATTTTCTTGCTGTTACTGATTTCTATTTTATTCCATTATGGTCAGAAGAGATACTGAAGATGATGTCCATGTTTTAAAAATCCGTTAAGGCTTATTTTGTGACCCAACATATTATCTATCCTGGAGCATGTTCCATGTGCCCTTGAGAAGAATGTGTCTTTCCTGATGTTGCTAAGTGTAATTTCTATATATGTCAGTTAGGTCTATTTGGTCAATAGTGTTACTCAAGTCAGAAGTTTTTTCACTGATTTTTCTATCTGCAAGTTGTATTCATTATTGTAAGTGAAACGGTAAAGTCTCCTACTATTATTGTATTGCTGCTAATTTCTATTTTCAGATCTGTCATTATTTTACATATTTAGGTATATACTCAGATATTGGATTCATATATATTTATAATTATTATATTTTTCTGTTGAATTGACTTTTATTATTATATAATGCCCTCTTTTGTCTCTAGAGACAGTTTTAAAGTCTATGCCAATATAAACATAGCTATGTATACTTTCTTTTAGTTACCATTTGTGTGAAATATGTTTTCTATCCTTTCACTTTCAGCCTATGGTGTCTTTAATTTTAAAGTGAGTGTTTTGTAGACAGCATATTTCTGGATCCTGCTTTTCATCCATTCATTTACTCTAGGGCTGCTCAAATCCTCTTGCTCTCTTTTTGTTTTGTGGGAGGAGATCAGAGGCCACGGGGATTCCTCTCGGCCCCAAGTTCTGCTAGACTGGGTGATGGGGCAATGTGAGTAAACTGTTTACTATGGTTTTCTATGTGGCTATTTTGTCTCTGTGGTTCATAGAGTTTCTGTAGCTTCCTTATTGCACTCTGGAACTATCTCAGAACTATTCTAGTTGGTACATAGTTGTACATATGTTGTTTTTGTGGACAAGAGGATAAGCACTGAGACCTCCTAGTCTGCTATCTCACTAATGTCACTATGAAAAATTAATTCTCTGTACATTTTCAAAAGTTGTTTAAATAGTTTGCTTTAAATTCTTCCAATGACGTGGAGCTTTCTACCTCAAGAGGCAGCTGATGCCATTCTCATGCTGAGGTCATGCTGGATGTTAGAAAGTTATTCTACTAGACCAAAGACTAAGAAAAAAATTTTCCAAAAATTAGAGCTTTAGGAACATTGAATGTGTATACTTTTGCAAGAATCTTAGTTCCCCATCTTTAATAGTATTCAAATAAAGGCTACATGACTTGATCTAAAGATGCTTTAGGGTCTAGAATTTGTAGTCTAGATAACTTTTGAGGTCCATTCTTATTCCCATAGTTAATGGTTGCATGACAATTCATTATTAGAAAGAGCTAACCTTTTAACCTAGTTTTCCATGCAGCTACTTATTTCCATTTTTTTCTTTTTATTCTTTCTTTAAGTCTCCCAGACACAAACCTTTCATTTGCCTGTGACTTCTCTCTCTCCTTTGCCTCTTTCTTATGCTTAGATTCTCCCCCCCCCAACATGGTATCTACTATTTGTCTTTTCTTTCTATTCTCATTCTGGGGCTTAACTTTGTCTTGCGGGCATTAATCTATAGCCTCCTCTATGATCTTTTCGTCTCCAGTTTATCCCTTGCCTAATCTAGCTTGTATTTCTAAAGTATCCTTTTGATAAACTATCTTCCCTTTCTAATCCGTCCTTAAACTGAACTTTGATCATGTTGCATTTCTCCCTCACTCTTTATCCTGACATTCATAATCCTTCACAATTAAGCTAAACTGACCTCTTCAGACACACTTCTTAAACACACTTTCCCAAACTATTCTGGTCAAATAGAATCCCCCTTTCACTGTATTCCAAAAAGTTTCTGTTTTTCTATTGCTCAGCTTTTGCTTATCCCAATTTCCCTGCTCAGGACTTCTGCCTGTCCCTAATCCTCTGCCACCAATAAAATCCTATTCATCTTTCAACTTAAGTCTCAAATTTCTCCTTTATTAACTCTTCCCAGAGGATTCCAGCCCATATTTATGTCTTCTTCCCTTGAACTCCCATACTGCTTTAATGTCTGTTTTATTCATCTGGCAATCAATCATGCACTGCTTTTTAACATCCCTGAAAATTGTTGTTTATCTTGAGTACTGTCACTTAACTATTTCTTTGTGTATATTTTGTCTCAACTACCTAAAAATGATCACTGAAGTCAGAAGCAGCTACACCTATTTTTCAACTCTCTAGAGAACAGAACTGGGCACCTAGTAAGAACTCAGTCCTCAATGTGTACTGACTAGTTTCCAGCAGGTTATCGAATTACTTTGTAGTGACTTTAATAGACCACTAAGTTAATTATTAATTTTTCTTCATTCCAGTCAGGCATTTGTGGTGACAGAGAGTAGAATAGAGCATTGGAGATGAGGTGTATATGAAAGAAAGCATATTTGACTCTTTTTTTTCATATTTGACTCTTTAAACCTCAAACAAGATGAATTGCTAAGATGCTTATGGTGAGACATTTTGCTTATGGCTAAAGGTGTTTCTTAATAGATTTAGGTCCCTAGAGCAGCTCTACAGAGGTTGTGATTACAACCTGAAACTAAACTGTTCCAAGACAGTGATTATTTTTTTTCCTTTTAAGTTTGTGCAGGGTAGTCAATGCCAAGGTGTTTAAATCAATTGATTCAGAAATTACATATCAGTGGTCTTATGGCTTTCTCTAGAAGTTTTTGCATTCCTGGACTAATAATTAAAATTCAAAATATCCTATGTGACCAATGAGAAGTGCTCCAGTTTGGATAAAGATAAGCTGAGAGAAAAGGGAGGATGGGAGAGAGCATGAGAATTACAACTTTCTGTGGCTACCTCTAATATGCCATAAGTGGCCTCATTGCAGGTGGGCAGGATGGAAAGAATGTGCTTTTCAATCAGGAAAAGAAGAAAATAAAGGAGTGAAGTGCCGAGTACTAAGTCATACAAAGACCATCATCAGACTCTAAGCAAAGTATCTCTACTAAGCATATACTATGTGGGCCTGAAAAAGGCCTTAATGATATGTGGAGAGGTACCTAGGCCCAAGTTCAGCAAACTTGTGATATACTCATAGCCATGATTAGCAGAATGTATAGTTATGAAATTAAGTGGTAAAAAGCCTAAGAAGTCCTATAAGAGTGAGGACATATATTTTTTCTTCATGGCACTAATTTTACTTCTAAAACCCATTATTACCAAGCCACAGTCTAGACTGCTTTGTCCCAAATGCCTATAACAATACTTTATCCTCTGGTAGTCATTTAAGACATCACTTTTTAAGGGTGGAATCATTTTTCACTTTATCTCCAAGATGTTCAGAGAAGGACTTTGCTTTAGGATGAACCATGAACCATGTATCACTCCCTTTATAAACTTTGGCTCCAAGATTTCCCTCAGATTCATTTATTCATTCAAACAATATTTATTTAGCATCTGCTATATGGCAAGTACTTGCTCTGAGCAAATAAATGACAAAAATCCTCCTCTCTTAAAAGTTACATAACTTCTAACTGTGGTAGGTCTGCAGAAGTCATAGTCCAGACTTTGAATGGTGACACCACTTGTGGCAGGGAACAGTGGGCAAGGGTTTGGTATTGCTAGGAGAAAAAGAACCCCACTAAACTTTGAGGAAGACTGCTTTTTGCTCTTCTCTCTACATTTCTTTTGTGGTAGACAATGAACAGAGAGGCAAAATTGCATGGGGGTTAAGTATATAGGCCTTGGAGTCACATAGCCTGGGTCCAAATCCTGGCTTTGCTACTGAGTAGTCATTTCATTTTGATCTGGTTCCCTGTCCTTTGTGAGTATTGGTTTTCTTAACTGTTAGTATAGTCATTTGACAGACCCAAGTAGAGACTTTGATTTCAGTTTTGCTAATATAAGAACATCTAAATTAGCTGCTTGCATATATCTGGAGTGCCTCATCCACTGGCCATATTGTGACATCTACATATCAAATGGAAGTGTACAGAAATATCTAAGCCACATACTTACCAACATCTGAGTATAAGAGAATTACTCCTAATTATAAATAGTTTTAAATAGGTTTCCTAATGATATTCATGTAAAATTCCTGACCAGATGACTTCTGCTTCCATCTTATTATTTCCCTGTTTGAAAGGTGGCTTAACTAATACAGTCAATTTTGTGTTTATGCTTGAGAGGTGTGTGGGTTCTCTATTATTTCATTTACCTTATGAATTTCTCCCTGTTGAACAGTTTTTATAACGTTAATCCATTCTTCCATGTCTTTCCGGGTGGGTGCAGCCAGGATAAGTTTTCGTTGTGGTGTGATCACCTGAACAAAAAGTCACACTATTAGCTGGTTCTCACTCTGCAAATTTGCCCCAAAACAGAGTCTATGAATCCTCCAAGGACTTAGACAGTTCTACTAAGCATAACTGAAGCAACATTTTAAATACATGGCAGATGTTCCCAGAGCTATTTGTATCTCCCTAGATACCAACCCCCCAAAATAATAATAATAGTAATAGATAACACTTTAATAGCATTTACTAAGTTCCAGGTACTGTTCTCTTGTACTTTATGTATATTATTTATTTACATTAGTCTTCACTACAACCCAGCATAAGGATTATATAAGGATTGTCCCCACTTCAAAGCCAGGAAAACCACAGCAAAAGAAATTAAATAACTTGCCCAGGGTCACTTAGCAGGTAAAAAGCTAAGCTAGAATTGAAATCTAGATTATTTGGCCCTGGAGCACATACTTTTAAACATTAAGTCAGGCATTCCTATATTACTCAAGTGACGTTGCTTGAAAATCCTGCTCACTTACTATTGCTCTGTCTACTTGGAAATAGTAAAAGGGCATGCGGTTCATCAGGGCATGCCTCTTTCTGTTTAGGAGGAGACAATACAGTGAGAAATCTAAAAATTTATTTTATTTATTTCTTATAGTCAGGGACAACCTAATGAAAATTTAAGCATTGTTTCTCTTACTCCTGTTTGTTGCAACAACCCAGGCAAGAATGAAAAAGCCACACTGAGGGTCTAGCAGAGGGGCAGGACTTGGTCTTTTCCCAGAGGAAAGTAGGAAGCATGGATAGCAATAGCATCAGTCCTTGTTTCAATGGCCCTACCTGCATTTACCATCGACCTCCAAAATCTTGGAACTAGAGCTCACCATAACAACAAACAATTTGTTTTTCTTTTTGCATGTAGCACAGCATGATTCTGTGGTAGATGGTAAAAAGAACTAGTGGGAATTGTGGTAACAACCACTCTTTTGGTCCCAACCCGTTCTTGTATGGGGCTGATGAGCAGTGTTTCTGTTTTAATTAAACTAAGGGGCAACCTAGTCCTTGAGATTTCTCTGTAGAGTGAAGACCAAAAACATTAATTAGCCTGTATGCTCATCAGCCAAAAGTTAAGTTTTGGGGGAGTGGGTCAACAGAACCCTCAGCTTTACTCTGGGTCAGTGTGATATAAGGAGAGAAATGAGAGTAGGGTCTCCTCTTATATCTAGCTTCTCTCCTTTCAAAGGAGAATAGAATGTGGACCTATGACAGAAGCAGGACATTGGGTCTATAACTCTTTAGTCTGCTAAGTTCACCTGCCTGAAAAGGAACCCCAGTCTCCATAAGCCACCACTGAGGCTGTGAGAAGACAGTTCTGGGAAGAAGTGAGTAGGAGAATTCCTCAGCCAATGGAGTTGCATTTTTCATTGAGTTTTTTTAGTCTGGATTCATTTGAATGATGAAAGCCTTATGAAATTTCAGCAGTGCCAAACCCTTGAATACTTTCCAAGAATATCTTCTGCTTTCTTTGCGGTACTCTCATTAGTGATCTGAGAATAGGGTAGCTTTCACTGGATTTAGCCTCTTATCTGCTTCATCAAAGGAGAGACTATCATGTAGCCTGATTATCCTGACATTTTCTACAACATATTAGCTGTGTCTTGAAAGATTCCTCATGATATTTTTCTTAATCACTTTCAACAGGAGGATATTTTGTGATAGTCATTTCCCCCACCCTGAAATCAACTCAGTTTTATAACAGACTGGTAATAGGGAACAAGGCCATTAATATTTTCTCCCTATGGTGGGTTGGTAAAAGTGTTTACATGAACAATCTTTAGCACTCATTTGCAATACTACTTTAAGCAGATTTCCATAGACATTTTGGATCAAAGGAAACTTGGTAAACCTAAACTCCAAAGAGGCAACAAGTGTGTAAACCCCTCTTCCCAGCTAGCTCCCAGCCCTGCCCATTAAATCATTCTCAACCTTACTTACACAAAAACTGTGACAAAGGTTTCTACAGCTAGTTTCAGCCAAGGCAACCTGAGACAGATCAATTGTTTCAAAATGTGCAAACTGGAAAGATATAAGAGGGAGAGGGGAAAAGAACCATCTGGTTAATGAGGCAAAGAGACACTAAAAAGTAAACACACACACGTGCACATGCACAATAATAGGCATTTTTGGCAGTCGTGATGTAATCATTGCTTTGGCTTGGGATTTATTTAGCATCATGATTTTTGTTGATATAACATGTGGCAAACAAAAACAAACCAAACTAAACCAAAACACAACAGTTCCCAAACCTTTGATGTGGATTTAAAGAAAAGCATGAGTAATTCAGAATTACTCAAAACTAAGGGTTGGTGTTGAAGATAATGTGATGTGGTCTAGCTAGAGGACTATTGGAGCAGAGAGGTGTTATTAGGTCTAATTTTATCAGCTGGCAGTCTTTGACTATGTTGCTAGTCCCATCCGGTTTTAGGCCTTTGTCTGGTTATACACTGATTTATATACATACACTTGTTATATACCTAGTAGGTAACATCCAGCCAGCAGCAGGAAATCAGCACTATGGATACAAACAGGACCAGCTTCAATGGTATGTAACTATGCAATCAAATAGGTCCTCATGTTCAGACAAGCCACATACTTGGTTTAATGCTCTGCTATTGCAGTTTTGAAATCCTTAATAAGTTTGTCATTGAATTTGTGTTTTATAAGTGAAGTCTAGTAGGACAATGGGTCATGAGGATTAGCAGAGGAGATATGCACAATATGCATATCTACCCCATATATTGTCACCCCATTTGCATTCGTGATACCCATGAGCATAGAATTACAGTAGACCCATGATGTGTGGGAGTTCAGTGAGACCCAAGTCAAGTATAAGGTAAGCATGTTACATCTATGAGTAACTAGGGGAGCTGAAAGCCCTGAGAAGCCATACTTCCTGTTGGAACTAGAACTTGCTTCAAACACAGCAATGGTGTTCTAAGAAACATGAACAACCAAGGAACCCTATTGTATTCTTTCTTATTCATGTTACTTCCCTATATTAGCCAATCATTCATATTGAAAATGATAACATTGAAGAAAAGGGAAAGATAGTGAAATTCATAATTCCTTTTCATTTTAGTCAGAGAGTATTGGTAGAATGTATAAGTACCAAGATGTAAAATAAAAACATTTGAGCTAGTTTTGCACAGTCTTGTGTACTGATGAGAACAATGTGTGTGTGTGTGTGTGTGTGTGTGTGTGTGTGTATGAGCTACCGGATGCAAATGATATAATGTTGGTGATCCTTCATGAATTAAATTATTTTCAATTTCCTTTTAAAACTGGCACTGTACAATATACAGATGGATGGAAAATTTGCTAATAATTTAAAATGTTATTTATGTATTTTCTTAGAATGACATTTAATAACAAATAGAAGATGCTCTGACAAATAATTGCTTTATCTTTTAGTATCTTGACTGGCATTTGTCCTTGTTCTTTAAATAAGAGGCCCACATTTATATTTTGTACTGGGCCCCAAAAATTATATAGTTGGTTCTGGGTGTAGAAGCTAATTGAGGAATCTATGAAAGGGAAGGGAAACTGAAAAAGGAAGGGAGAGAAGGGTGTCCCTCATTTGGCCATAAAGGCCAACTTAAAGCAAGACTGGAAAGTTTCAATTTCTGCCTCTGTTTGCCAAATGTCTTTACCTATTAGCCCATCTCCTCATGACATATTTTCTGGCATCCACATACTAACCCAATTGACAAGATTTTATATATATATATATATATATATATATATATATATATATATAATCCTATATATTCTTTTACCGCAGGATGGTGAGCAAAGCAGAGCCTTTGTCCTCGAACCAGAAAATATCTAAGCTTCCATCTCTTGAAGGAGTTACAGCTCTTCAGCAGAGGTCCTTCCTTCAGTATTCTCTGAAAGATAACATAGCGTTGAGTTATTACATCAATTTGCAAGGCCATATCACTTGTCCTCTCATTTGAGAAGATCAGATAGCTGGAAGGCTCTGTCTCTTGTCATATGTCTGAGAAATGGCCTGAGAGCCAGGAAAGAACTCAAAGAAGTTCGTTCAATTGGAAAATCTGTTGGTTACTTTTGGTAACACATATGGGATGACATATAGGGTATAAGTTTCTTAGGATACATGGCATATGAACTGTGAAGAACATCTCCATTGATCGTAGGGGATAAGGAGGAGGGAAATCAACACATGACTATGAGAACAACATGCCTAAGAAAGAACAAGTGGTAGGGGAAGAGACTACATTAAGTAAAGGCAGATTTTCTGGATATCTCCAGGTTGTAGCTCTGTGCAGGACCATCCTATCAGCTCTTTTAGAGTGTTCCTTTTAGAATATTAAGTTGGATCCCATTCCTTCCCTGCTCACAAACTTCCATTAGCTTCCCAACATTTTTAGAACCGAATCTAAGTTCTTTACCATAGCCTTCAAGGGATTCATGGTCTAGTGAGAAAGCAAAATATCACAAAAAATGAACTGCCTTCTGATTATGTTCTTTAGATATCCTATATTCTGACCACTGACTTCTCTGTTAGTTGTTGAACAGACTGATTCTAACCCAGCATAGAGTTTACTTATCATTTTTACCACGGAGCAAGTTCTCACTTATATTTATGTATACAAACCAACATGCAAGACTTCTGTTTGGGAACAGTACTCACACCCACCAAACTGGAACAAAATCCACACTGAATGAACAATGTCACCAAATCAAGGCCATATCATGAATTCTATCTATCACCTAAATTAAAATTCACCATTGAGTGGTTGTGGAAATGTTCTGTTTTGCCCACCTACTACTGTTTTTCATAGTTTTTAATTAGTTGATATTATTTAAAACAGAATATTTCACATTAAAATTCAAGTTTCCTGTTTCTTTAAGATATCATAACGTCTGATAACAGTGAACCTATATTCTCACATGTCAACAATCTGCTGGAATGGAATAGCAGCTGCTCTCTTCAGATGGGGCATCTGACTCCACCAGGCATTTGAGTTTGGGACCCTGATCTAAACAATTCCTTGCTACTCCTATTCTCTCAAATATATATGCATTTATTATAACTCTCTAACCAATAAGAGTGTACTAATGGACAGAACCTTTGTATGTCAATGGAAAAGTCAGTTCATGAGCAATTCATGTTTATCCGAGCCCTCTTGACAACTTAAGTGAGTTTCAAGATACTGTACCATCCTTGAGATGCTTACACAAGAATGGTGCCCAAGAGTCAAAACAGAGAACAATGAAATCTTGTCGGAAGGAGGAAGATGGCAGGGAGAATAAAAAATTACATTTAAGTTGCTGACAATAAGTCTGGTGGCCTATGGTACACAATCTCAATGATGGCATTTGGTTTTCTGTATACTAACTTTCTCACCTTTGTGCTATTTATTATTCTATATTGTCATCATGAAACCTAGGCAGTCATAAATATCCCTCTCAAAATTTTTACTGCTCTACCTTTCTACCACTTGAACCACATACATTATTTCTGCCTTTTCCCCAAGTTATTCTACTCTGTTAATTACTAAATGCTTCTTCTACTGTTCTTATTCTGAAATATATATTGTCCTATATAATAGCTCATTTTACAACTTTTGGCTGGCTATTTTTCCCTTACTTCCATTTTCAGTTTAAAGACTCCCTCAACTTCAATGGCTTTTTCTTATCCTTGCTGCCATACTCAGCTCTCTTCTCTTCCTGTTCCTTTCAGGGGTAGGAAGATGGAGTGAGGTGGTACTGAGAACATGAGGAAGGGTATCTGTTTCTCCGAAAGGTTCCTGGAACCCTGGGCCTTCTAGTCCCTTCAGAAAATTCCCAGGCACTGGTGCTTTGAAATACTGAAAAAAGTAGAAATCAGCCTCTTCTTTCCAGCTACTTCCTTCCATCAACCCTTACTAATGTTCATTCTTTAATTCCCCTTCTCGGTACTTAAGAAATGTTCTCTTTTCTTCTCTTATACATTCCCCGACAATTAGTGACATCTGTTATTTATTCAAGGACACAGAAAAAATTAATTAATCTACTAATATGAGGACACGGCAAATCATCAAAATCTTCAGTTCTCATTCCATGAACCTGGCATTTGTCAGGTGAAGAAAAGACTTTGTGATGCATTTACCATTGGATAGAGTGCTTAATTCACATTTTCTGAGTTCCTGCTATGAACTCTGTCTTTCAATAGACCATTTGAGACAGCTAAACAACGTCTAAAAGATATGGATGGTGGGGGTAGAGGGGGAGGGAACAATAATCCACATAGACAAATACAAAGTTATGTGAGCTCAGAACCATTAGAAAGAGCTTTGGGGCTTCGTGTTCATTGCCCTTAATGTTTATTTTCTGGTTCAAATGAGGGATTGCATCAGAACAGTGGCTATCTACTCACACACCCTGTCATTGCCTACATCAGACAAATCACAATTTTCTCCTCTCTGTGCTATGATATTAAATTGGTCACCTTGACTGCACTAGCTTTAAGGCAGGACTGTCTACTCAATGCTGGTTGATAAAGGGAGAGACAAGACGACCTAGTAGGAAAACTGGAGAGGTTGAGCCCAGTTGCTACAAAGTTTTAGGTGATTGTTATTGAATGCTGACCAGTGTTACTAGCTCATTCCATTTTTCAAAGAGAAACTGGCAATCCAGGCTAAAATCTTATAATATTGAAATGTTAGCCATTAATTATATTTAAAAAACTCATGAGGCCCAAAGAAAACATGTGTTCAGGACAAAGCCCACAGGCAACCACTTTGCAATTTCTAAATTATAGTTACTATCACTTTCTCTAGAGAACAGAGTGAGTGGTGGGTATTCCTGGCATCAGAGCAGATTGTAGTATATGAGTTTAGAGCTTGTACATGAGGATACTATACATGTGAGATATATATTACTAAGTTGAGACCATGTAAATTTTGATGTAGTTTATATATAGTAGGGAAAAAAGGTTAGAAGTCCACATAAAGTTTTTTAAGTTCTAAACCCAGGCTCGATAGCATTCACTCAGAACTTCAACAAATATTCAAACCTCAATTGGGAGAATGTAAAGTTCCTGTAGTTTCTTGCTTAAGCTCTGTCTCCCTCCAGAGAAATTTACTAATCCAATCACTGTTTCTAGATAAATCCTTGTACAAGCAGAAGCTAAGAATCAATCAGCGGGTCAATAAAATATGTGCATGCAAATCAACATTTACCTGCTGGGGGCACTAAACCTAGTAAGGACATAAGATAAAAATTGGCAGACTCAGACAAGCATACCTTGCAAAGGCAGATATTGGAAGGAGAGCTCTTGCCCATCCCATAAGAGGACTTGTATAATGCTTCTTAGTTCCTGGCCTCTTGTGGATAACATCAGCTCATTTTCCCCTCACCACAACCATGTGGAGTATTACCTCTAATTTCCAGCTGGTAAATCTGAAGCTTGGGCATTACTTGAGGGTTCACAATTAGAGAATGCTGGTGGGCTCTGTGCTTTTTCTACTATTCTACCCATGAAAAAAAAAACTGGGTATATCTGATTAATTAATATGTACACAATGGAGTGAATACACTGCCCCCACCCAATCTTTGTTTTGAAAGACAAAGCAGTAGATTGCTAAGAATTGAATGGCCTTCTGTGTTCATAGCAGCACAATTTACAATAGCCAAGTGCAGGAAGCAACCTAAGTGCCCATCAGTAAATGAGTAGATCAAAAAACTTTGGTACATTTACATACACCATGGAATACTATACAGCAGAAAGAAAGAAGGAGCTCCTACTGTTTGTGACAGCATAGATGGAACTGGAGAGCATTATGCTAAGTGAAATAATCCAGGTGGTGACAGACAAATACCGTATGATCTCACCTTTAACCGGAACCTAATCAACAACAACAACCAAAAAAACCAAGCAAGTAAAATATAACCAGAGACATTGAAATAAACAACAAACTGACAGTAACCAGAGGGGAGGGGGAGGGAAGGGGAAGAGTCATCAAGGAACATGTATAAAGGACCCATGGACAAAGCCGAAGGGGGGAATGATTGAGGGTGGGAGGTGTGCGATGAGAGAAAGTGGTGGCAGGAAAATGGAGACAACTATATTTGAACAATAAGAAAAAAAGGTCTTCAACAATTAAAAAAAAATCAGTTCTGATTACAGAGCCATACCCCACTCTCAGAAAGTAGAACATTCCTATGAACTTTCCGGTAAGCTGAAATGGGGTAGAGTGAAGAAGCAATTACTGTTAATTTATATGAAAAATTTTTGAGCATTCTCAGACTAAAAAAATGACCTAACATATTACCAAATAACACATGAAACGAAACCTAAAATAACTTTATTACACCCAGTTTTACACTAAGTGTAACACCCTTATGAGCTCTCTTAGGCCTTTATGATACCACATCTTGCTAATGAATGCACAAAATAAATGAAAATAAAGAACTGATGCTCATAGACCCAGTTCGAAACTTTGACAGCTTGATGCTGACATGCTGAGATGCTGAGATGCTGAGCATAGTTTCCAGAGAAGAATCTTGGCAGGAAACACTCCTGCTGCTCAGGATGCACACAGACTACATAATGGCTGCTGTAAAACAAACACTGAACTCTATTTTTGTTTTTTTCTTTCTTTTGTAAAAGCAAAAATCCTCTTCTGATTTCTTTTGGTTTGCAAAAACATGCACTAATATAGATGTTTTGTAAAAGCAAAATGACATAAAGTGAACTTTCAAAAAGCAGGGAGCACCTGAACTCCATATTAAAACTGTTAAGGGGCTTCTAAGAAGCAAATGACAATTCCTGGTGGGTGAGAGGGAAGTTCTTTTGTTTTTTTTTTAAATGACTAAGATTGACTAGAAGAGTAACAAGAATTCACATGTATACAGCACTTTGCAATTGATGAAATGCTTT